TTTATCCTGGTCCTCAACACTATCTAGTCATAGTTTAAAACTTCCTTTACAGCTGAGTTAATAGCCCTTACAAACAAGACAGCCCCTATCCAATTTAAATGTAAACCATCCAATCGAAAAAGATCCCTTCTTTCATTGAACTGATCCCACAAGTCCAACCAGCCAATCTGCTCATTCTTACATATTAGCCTAAGCCTAGCATTTAGTCCTAGTGACCTTCTTATAATTTAGTCCCTACAATTAATTCTTGGCAGTACCCATGACACATTTAAGTTATGGTCTTTTTCTTTAAATGCTTTTCTCAACCCCAGGTACTTATTAATTAGCTCCTTTGACTTACCTTTCCCTACATCAATGCTAGCCTCCTTTATTATATATCTTGCTCTGTCAGTTATATCTTCCACCTGTACCCCTGCCCTGGGTAGCACAATCTGCTTCTTTTCTCACTATTTACCCCACAGACTATCCTATCCACATGTTATGTCAAGGAATCATCAATAACTATAACCTCCTTAAGTTTATCATCCACATCATTCTCTGACCCTTTTTGTCTTCCTTCCCTCCAATAGTTCCTCATCTGCACAAGCCAAGGGCTGAAATCTGTTGCTCAAAAGAATAGGCTCATTACAAATTAACTCCACTACTTTTAGTCCTAATTAATAATTACTTGTGGTTACTTTTACTTCAGCACTGGGCTATAAAGGGACAGCCAAATTGTGTTTAAAAAGCCACAAACGTTTACAAAATGAGCATGCCTCATTTCACATGTTTAAGAATTGGAAGGATAACATCCACCAGACACCAAAGGTTTTGAATTTTTAAAAGTAGGTAAAGAGGTGTAAACATAAAATACAAATACTGGATATGATAACAAAAACAAACTATCATTGATGAAAGTAGTGTTGTGCTTCACTGAAACCTTAGATACTAAAGTTAATATCATGGAATCACTATGATAATCCACCCAATAGTTCATTAGAAATTAATAGTTAAGCTAGATAAAATAGATTTTGTCCCTAATCACTCTGTTCTATTTTAACTTCTGCATTCTGACAAGACAAATACAATGACATGATAAAAGAGGGAGTTATTTTTAGATAGATTACTTTCTAATGAATATTAACTTCCAATGCACATTTGTTTTTATGTAATGATAATGCCAGGCAAAAATGTATGTTGTAGCCTGGGAAAGACAGATTAAAGCACACACACAACACTAACAACTATTACAGATTCACCCTCAATTAAATGTTGGATTATGAACAGAACTAATATTCAACAATGCAATGCATGTGCAAGTATCAACTAAACACCCTTGAGATCCTTAATGCTATTTATTCTATCTGCTACAATTACTATATTTCATTCTAACATGACTGTGTATTTCATTTATTATCAAACATTATGGTTCAGCATTCCATTCATTCTTGAATACAGCTAGCAACATTTTAAATGCTAGTTTATGTGTTGCTTTAGTAACATTCCAATTTGTGTACTCCCACTGGCAACAGACTAAATGCAATTAGATGAAATGGGAACAAACGTAACAAAATACAATCATTAGGTTGTCAAATATAGAATAAGATTTAGATACAAAAATACCTTTGGCACAGTTTTGGAAACAAAGCATTTTTGTATTTATACTGTTTACAATATAATGCAATTGGCTTTTAAAATGTTCACACATTGATATATTTTATGTACATGCACATATACACTACAAATATATCACATAAAAAACCTAACTTGTTCTCAAGAAATTATAATACTGCTTTAAAGTTTTTTCATTTACAGTAAAATGGCATACCAAGTTTACAGAAAAAATGATGAGACACTGGTTGTTATTTTTCTGCTACTGTGAGATATTCAATACATTAAATGGATGAGACATCTACATATATATGAGTATGAATTTTGTAAACATCTTGCTCACAACTATTTATGAACTAATGCTTCATGATCATTTTAAAAATGGTTTATTGGAGGAAGTGATGTATAATTCTAAGATCTTATGAGTGAAAGTAAACAAAAAATTATAACAGTATGTCATCCACACTATATCTGTTATATCCATAATCCAGTCTCAACAAGGCCTTTTACTCAGTACCAGGGCTCATCAGGCCAGCTGTGATATACAGACACAGTAGTGGTTGAGATGCTATTTATATTATCAAACTGCACTAACAAAAGCTATTATGGTGTGAAGTAGATTAAATTGTTTTTCTTTTTCCAAAACTGTTTACTTTTGAAAAACAGTATGATATTTGTTATGGCACGAAAAGTATAAAATACTGCATTTAACAAAATCATGTTTGTAGTTATATTCTAATAAGACTAAGAGTGGCCTTAATAATAATAGTATGCTAACTAACCATTTGTAATCTACTCTTTCTTTGCAATACTTATTATTTTAATAATTGATAGTCAGTTTTACATACTTGGTTAATTTATTAACATTATCATTTTGGGAATCGTGCTAAAACACGAAACTAGCTCGTAAAAGTATGCTGTGATGGCTAATGAGTAGGACAACTAACGTTGACTAATTTAAAATATAAAAAATAACTACAATTAGTTTAACTTTTAAGTGTAAATTTATCACGGTCTCAGACAGTCTGAAACTAGCTTTCGTTAGTTAAACCTCGAAATCTGTCTCCGATGACTACGAGTACGAGTCATAGTCATACTCAGTCATAACGAGTTATAAACGAAAAAACATCCCTTCTAAGTTCATATTTTATAATGATATGTTCTTACCTTATACTTAACAACAAAATATTCTTGAATTACTTCAATTTCTAGCTTACTGTACTGATGAATAAAAAACTAAAAATGACTCCAAACTAAACAATCTTCCCCACAACTAAGCCTACCTTACGCTTCTGCATTTATTTCTACAATACCATAACTCCGTAGACAGCAAGAATCTTTGACGTCATCAGTCCCTGAGCAGTTGTCATAGCACTGTTAAAACAAATTTCAAGACGATATTTTAAAAATTACAAAACAAAAATCAGTAAAATTAGATCTATTTCATCAAAACTCATTTAAAACATGGAATTATGTCCAATAAATACTATTATTTTTTTATTTCGACAAAAAACCAAAGAAACCTTTATTTCTTAATGTTTAAAACAGATGGCATTTTAGAAATAAGATAAAGATAATTTCTTTTCAGGTACATTGTGCTACTGTATATTAATGGTAAAAATACAACGTTTTTTGGGACAAGGAATATTAAAATTTTATTAGTCACGATCACCAGAATTTGTAAATACACAATCCTGATGGTCGTAACTGTGTTACCGAAACTTGTCAGCTGAAACAACTAACCGAGAGTTTAACTCCATTGTGTGAAAAAAAACGTCCTTTTGATTTTTTACTCTTGATATACAGTAGCATAATGTAACCGAAAAGTAATTACATTTATCTTATTTTTTGAATACTGTTACGTCTCCGTTTGTTAAGTGATTTTCCGTAACTTCGTTCCGACGAAACTTTAGCGACACAAGTCCTTACTTAAT